CTCCTCCTCCTCCTCCTCCTCCTGCTCCTCCTTATCCTCCTACTCCTCCTCTTCCAATCCCTTTCCTTACTATCCGCCGATCCCGCGTGTGAGTTTCTGAGAGCTGAGCTTGGACTTGAGCTCGCTCAAACTTCGCTCTTCAGGGGGGGGGGCGCCATTCCCGACACCATTCAGTGCTCGGGTGCCAGGGGGGGGTCGCTCTGCAAGGGTGGTCGGGGGGTGGGGGCGCCATTCCCGACGCCATTCAGTCCTCGAGAGCCGGGGGTGGGGGGGAAGGGTTCGCTCCGCCAAGGGGGGCAGGAGACGCCATTCCGGATTCCCGACGACATGCAGTGCTCGGGAGCCAGGGGAGGTTCGCTCTGCAAAGGGGGGGGGGACACCATTCCCGACGCCATTCCATGCTGGGGAGCCAGGGGGGCTCTACAAGGGGGGAGGGGGGACGCCATTCCCGGCGCCATGCAGTGCTCGGGGGCGGGGGGGCTTCGCTTCCGACGGTCCCACAAACTCCCGGGACCGCGTCAAGACGGCTCAAAAGGCTCCCAAGACGACCCCACAACGGCGCAAGGGAACGCCAAGACGGCCCAAGAAGCGCCCAAGCCAGCCCAAGAGGGCTCCACCAGGGCCCCTGGAGAGGCCCAATAGGGAGAGCCCGAACCGAAAATCGAAGCCTTTCCTTTCACGACGTTCTCCAGAGGCTCCAAGACGCCCCCAGGAGGCCCCAACAGGGCTCCAAGACAGCTCCAGGAGAGGCCCAAGAGGGGGAGACTGAACCGACAATCCCAGCCTTTCCCCTCGCGAGGTTCTCAAGAGGCTCCAAGAAGCCCCCAAAAGGCCCCAACAAGCCCCCAAGAAGTTCCCAGGTGGCCCCAGAAGGCCCCCAAGAGGCCCGAAACCCAAGAGGCCCCAAAACGACCCCCAAGAGGCTTCCCCAGGTCCCTTGCGCAATCCCCTGAGCCTCAGTTCTCTAGCCTGAGGATTCTTAATGGGCCCGGACCCCAAGCTCCCAAATCTCTTGGGGCTCCCCACGCGCCCTCTGGGGCCCCCAGAATGTTACCGCATGATTTTTTCGAGCCCAAGAGAGGCCCAAGACGGGCCAACAGGGCCGAGGCCATCAAGACGGCTCAAGAAAGCCCCCAATCACCGAACGACCGGTCCAAGACGCCCAAGTTGCCCCAAGACGGCCCGAGAAGCTTGGAGACGCCCCAGCCCCACGAGCCTTCCCAAGAGGGCACGAGAGGCAAAAACCACTCATTTTCTCTGAATTGTTAAGGATGTGTGTGGTGGGGGGGAGGGAGGGTTCTCTCCTTGTCAAGCTTCCGACGTTACCTACTCTCCCTCGTCCTCCCGTCCACACCGCTGATACTTCACATCATCAACATCAACACCACCGTCATCATTATCAGCATCATTGCGGGCACACCGCTATCATCATAACAACCACCATCACCATCACCAGCATCACAATCCTGATTCTCGTCGTCGTGATCACAGTCTTCATGCTCTTCACCATGGCTATCACCATGACAAACATCCTCTGAATCATCATCAGAATCATCGACATCACCATCATCATCAGCATCATCATCGTCATCATCATTATCTGGAGCGCCAAAGATCGGCGGCACTGGCCAGAGGCCAGCACAAGAAGTAAATCTCCCTGTCGCACCCGAAACCAGTTTATAGAGCGGGCCGGGCGTGTCGCCTGACGCTTCCTCACCACTCATGACCCTGAAGCTGCAACATTGGCAACAGCTCACAACATGAGGGCGGCACGTTTTCAAAATGTGGCTCTCGCCTTAGCGCCGCGCACATTTGCTTCAAACTTTTGCAAGAGCTTCAAGGATTGAGGGCGGCACGTTTTCGGAATGTGGCTCTCGGCTTTTAGCTCCGCGCACGTTGGTTTTCCAAATTTGCAAGGGTTTCACAGATTGAGGGCAGGCCATTTTCAAAATGTGGCTCTCGGCTTAGCGCCGCGTGCACTCTAAAAAAGCTGCAAGAGCTTTTTGTTTAAAAATGTAGAAGTTTCACTGGTTCCCCAGAAGCAACGTACCAGAAATGGTTTTGTTGAACGGCTCAGGGTTATGAGGGTGCAACAGTTAAGTTGATTCGCGGTGTTGAAGTGCCAGGAGTGGCTGTCCGCCGGCACGACTCAGGATCGCCAAGACGGAACAGTCAATCCGATCCTTGGCGGTGGAATCCCGAGAACAATGTTTTGGCATGCTCTTCAAGCGGTTGTCTTCCAACTGGGCAGTTCCCTCAGTGGAAGTGAACTGTTGTAAGGGCGTATGAAGAGGGAGCTTAGAGAGAGGGTGCATTCCAACATCGTTGATGGCTATTGGGTTTACACTGGTCCTCCTCCTCTTCCTCCTACTCCTCCTGCGCCGTCCCTCGTCTTCATGACCGGCAACCACGTAGCCCGAACTTGCAGTCAACGTTTCCATTCCGATCTGTGCCGCAGTGACCGAATAAATTGTGCCCGATCGGACCCTGACTGACTGAGCGCGCGCCTTGGCAAAACAGCCAAAAGGGAAACGACGGGCGCTTCCGGTCAGCCTCAGGCCCAGGGCAGCCTCGTGAACGTGCCCAGCCAACGAGAAGCGGAAAGACGGCGCCGAGGACCCCTGGCCGCGATGCTCCGCGACGCCTGCTCGGACGATGGCTGGTCTGCTGTCCCCGCGTGCAGGGGCAGCACCAAGAGACAGGTCGGGGATCTACTGGCCCGGGGCAATGCAGACCCAGGTCAGTCAGGCTTTGCAGGAATCTGCTCCCAAGCCCTGTGGGATCCACTGAAGGATCCGCCTCGGTGGGAGACAACCGTTTGAAAACCGAAAACCCTGAAGCGTGCCAAAATATCATTGTGGATCAACATGACCTTTCGCGTTTTGGCGATCCCGAGCCGTGCCAGGACACCATTGCTGTGACTCCAGCCCCGCGATTCTACATGACTGTTGCGCCCTCACAATCCTGAGTCCTTGCAACACACAACTTCTGGCACGCTGACCATGGGAACCCGCGGCACGCGTGCAAGTTTGGATGTGCGCGGCGCTCAGGCGAGAACCACATTTTGAAAACGGGCCGCCCTCCGTCCGTGAAGCTCCTGCAACACTTGTAAAAAACGAGTGTGCGCGGCGCTCAGGCGAGAACCACATTTTGACAACGGGCCGCCCTCAGTCCGTGAAGCTCTGCAACACCCGTAAAACGAGTGTGCGCGGCGCTCAGGCGAGAACCACATGTTGAAGATCCAGCTTTCAACACGGATGTGCGCGGCGCAAAAACAAAAGCGAGAACCACCTGTTGAAAACCACCCGCCCTTCACCCGGGCAGCTCAGATGTAGATTCAAGACGAACCACCCTCTGAAAACGACCCGCCCTCCACCCGTGAAACGCGTGCACACTACTAAACCGAATGTGCGCGGCGCTACGAGCGGGAGCCACATCTTCAAAACCACCCGCCCTGCGTCTGTGGACATGACGCCAAGTGTTACGCTTCATGGTCATAAATGGTGAGGAGGTCTCAGGCGACACGCCCGGTCCGCTCTCTCGACCGGCCTCGGGGTGCGACAGGGAGGAGTTAATTGGAAGGGAAACGAATAGACTAGGAGGAGGAGGAGGAGGAGGAGGAGGAGGAGGAGGAGGAGGAGTCGACGCAGCCTTAGGGCGAAGAGGAGGAGGAAGGGGAAATCGAGAAGCGGGCCCAATAACCCCCCCTTGGGTACGGGCCCCGCTGCGACGCGAGCCAGGCCGCCGACGTGGGCCTGCCGCACACCAGGGCACTCTCGGATCCCCGCTGTTGCCTCCTCCCCCTCCTTCCTCCTGCTCGTCTGAAGTCGGGCCTGTCCCCCGACATGGGGATTTTCGACAAAAAATACCCCCAAAATGCTCCAAAAATGGTCTGGGGACTATGTTTTGAATATGTTTTGACCTTTTGGGGGTATTTTTGGGGTATCTTTATTTTTTCGTCGAAGATCCCCCTGTAGGGGGACACGCCCGACATACTGCTTGTCTGAGCTGTGCACTGGCACCTGCGTTTCCCTCTCGCCCTTTCTGGGCCCGCCCTCGTGCAAGCGGGGTGCATGCAGTGACTGAATCCGTTCTCTCGCTCGGTCCTCAAGCCTGGGGCCTCGCCGATCGGACAGGGGGGGGCGCGCGGGAGTGGACGATGAGCTGCCTCCACCGAGAGCCCAGAGCTCCGTCGTGGTTCCTGCGCCGCGTGGGCCCCCCCCCTTGGCCTCGACCCCTTCCCCAGCACCGGCCTGGCATCCCGGGTGCTTCCTGGACGATACCGCGCGGGCCGGCCTTGCCCCCTTGGCTGCCCGGCGCGCCGGAGGCACAGGCAGAGAACACACAGGAGGAGCCCGAGGCCCGGCGCGGGCCTCCGCGAGGCAGAGCGCGCTGGCCCAAAAGCCTTCCGCCGGCCGTGCTCTGCTCCCCACGCCGGGAGGCGCGGCGGCGGGAGCAGCTTCGGCGAACCGCGCGGGGCGCGCGCGGGCGCACGAGGGGGGTCGGGCCCGCCCCGGGCCGGCAGCGCGGGGCCTCACGGCCGCGCCCTCCGTGAAGAGCAGCCGGGGCTGCCGGAACCGCCGCCGCGCCATGTGCCTGCGGCTCTTCACGGAGAGGGGGTTCACCTCGGCCGCGGGGCGCGCGTCCCTCCCGGCCGTCTCTCCGGCGGCTCTGGAAGATGTCTCGGGCGCCGCGGCCTTCTCAGAGCGTTCCGGAAGGCTCTGGAACGGATTTACCCTCGTCCCAGCCCCGTCCGACCGGCCCCTTCCGTCTGACCCGAGGGCCTGGCATAGACAGAACTTCCAGAGGTCTGCGCGGTGAGAGGAGCGAGGATCAGGAGGAGGAGGGGGAGGAGGAGAATAGCTGACGCAAGATGCGTCAACGAGGCTTCGATGCACCGTAGGTGCCTGGGCGGAGATGCCGTCGCCCACGTCCGCCACGGAGTGGACGATATTCGCCACCGGCTTGACGATGCCCCCCGCGACGCCTCGGCCGCGGAGACGCCCATCCCCCCACCTTCTGCCTGCGGGTGCGGCGGCAGGACCGCCCCCGTGCCCCCCTGCAAGACTGCAGCGCGACGGGATCGCACCTGCGGTCAACGAACTGCTGCTCGACGTGCCGCGGCGGCGGCCCCTGCGGCACGCAGTGCCCTGCAGGCGGGTAGCGTGTCGCTCCGCTCCCCGCGTGGCGGGAAGCTGGGGGAGGCTCAAGACGTGGACGCCTGGGGACTGAGACGCGGCTCGCGTGTCGCGCCGAAGCGCGGTGGGCCAGAGTGGGGCAGCGCGACCCGCCCAAGCGGAAGCTCCTCCCCGTGCAGCACGACAGAATCATGCACATGGGGTGCGCGGCAGGGATACAAAGACCTCGGGCGCCAAAGCTCGGGCCTCTGGAACGGAAATGCTCGTCCAGATGATCCTCTTTGACTGCGCACCTTACATACAGTAGGGGCCCGACCACAAGAAACCTTCCACAGGAAACCCAACCCTGAGACCCCAGGATCTCCTATGTGGGAACGTCACGGTTTCCATCGCAAAAAATCGAAACCCAAGAAACCGAGGGCACCCTGGAGGCAAGCAGGTTGTTTCTTGGCATGGGCCCCGACTGTAGAACCTCGTGGGTACAAGGCGAGCTCCGACCAAAGCAGCCCGCAGACCCACGCGGCAGGGCTCGGGGTCGGCTTCCTGGCCCTCGCGCACTCACGGCCCTGGGCAAACTCACTCTACCATGAGACGGGAAACTCCCAGCCAGGGGCAACTCGCGTGGACGAGGAGTCGGAGGCGGAGGCATCGGGCGGGAGAAGAAGGTGACTGGGGAGGAGGAGGAGCAAAAGAAAACCAGAGCAGAACGGAGGCTGCACCCAGCACCCCGGCATTGACGCGCATGGCGGGATCCAAAAACCCTGAAGCCACAAATGTTGCCATCTCTTGGTGGCTCATTCTCTGCTTCCGCCACATTCCGCCGCCATTTCGCCGGCTTCCGCCGGCGGAGCCGCCCCCGTTTTTTTCCCGCCGCCTTCCGCCAGCCTTCTATCACCTCCGCAGAGGAAGAAATGCCAACTCCACCGGTCCTCGAAGCCAAGCCTCTTTTTGGAACGCCTCACATATTGACAAGACGTGTAATGGTCAATGTCTGGCGGCATCGCGCATGGCGAGCCCAGCGACGTGAAACGGAGAAGCACCGGGCCAACAGGTAAGACCGCACAGGCCAGACCGGGATGGGCGAGCCTAGGCACTGGAACGCGGCCTGCGAGACGACATGCAAGGAGCGACGAAAGATGAACGGGTCTTACGCGAGATGGCATGGCGACCTTACGCCGCTGCTTACGTGGGCCGCTGGCGCGGCACGCTCCATTAGAGACGGAGGAGCTTACGCGCAGCCTTACACGTCAACGTCGGCGCAGACGACCCCGTTATTTTGCGTCGCTCAGGCTGCGATAAGGCGCATGCGGGTCACACGGTCCGCTGGTTCCCGGGGCAGGCACCGTGCCGACAACGCTGGCGCGCCTGGGGGATCGAGGCTTTTGACGATCGAGGATCAAGATCGAGCTTCGAGGTTTGAGGATCGAGGAAGGATCGAAGTACTCTAGAGGACGAGGGGGAGGAGGAACCTCAACCTCGACACGCTGTGGCGGCGCCAACGCGATCGCGAACGCCAGAAGCCTCAGCCACCCGATCTCACCTGCTCATCCTCCATGGCAGCTTCTTCTGCTTCTTGGCAATCTTTAGCTCCGCCACGGCCTGCTTCAAGGGGGCCACCTGCTTCTTGTGCGCCACCTTCTTCGCGTGGATCTGCTCGAGGAGCGGTGCCACGTCCTTCTTGTACGACTCCTTCTCCTTCTCAATCTTCTGCCTGATCACCTCCATGCGGTTGTCGATGTCCTCCTCGCTCATCTCTTCTATCGCCACCTCCTGCCGCCGGAACGTGAAGGCCCACTGCACCACGCACGGCCCCGCTGCCTGGCCAGGATCGGCCGAAACGCCCGGGCCGGGAGACCGGAACGACTCGGAGTGCGCCTCGGCCCGGGCCAGATGGGCACGGAGCCAGGAAGTGCGCCGTGCAAGGCAGGGACATGCCTATTCCTATAATTTTATCACCCGGACCACCCCCACCCACCCACCCTAAACGGGGGACCCCCCCCCCAGGACGCCCCAGACGCTCTTTCGGACGTCTGACGTCCTTGGAGAAAGGTCCGCTGGCCTTTCCGGGCCTCCCAGGGCGCCTTGCCGAGCCTTGCGAGCAGACTCAAGGCGATCAGAGGGGTCATCGGAGAGGCGCAAGAGAGACCCAAGACAGCACAAGAGCGCTCCAAGAGGAACCTCGATGGTCTGACGACGGCCCAAGAATCCCCCAAGACGCCTCAAGAGGCCGTTAAGAGAGCCACCAAGAAACAAACATCGTCCCATTCCCTCCAGAATATATATATATACATATATTGTAGCCATATCCGTTTCGTGGGTCTTCGCAGCGTCCACGACGACCCCCGATATCGCCACAAGACGGCCCAAGAGGCCCCCCAGGGGGTTTGAAGACGGCCCAAGAGGGCCCCAAGACTGCCCCAGAGAGCTCCGAAGCTGCCCACGGCAAGCCCAAGATGCCCCCAGAAGGCTCCCAAGAGAGACCCACGAAAACCATGGGAGACCCCGCAAGAGCGACCAAACATCGATTTGTTCGGAGCTACTGCGACTTCTTCGGCGTGTCATGGGAACGCTCCTTACTTCCTCCAAGGACCTTCGCGCGTGAAAAAAAATTGTCCTTCCTGCGCAACAACGTGCAAGCGCACCGGGCGAACGCGATGACAGCAGGCACCAGGGATATCAGAAAAATGAGCGGGTCGCCCGTCCAGGCCTCGAGATCCCCCCGAATTACTGAAGCAAGCGATGATTTGTTGCCTTGCTGGGGAAGGTCCGAAGGCGCATGGCGCGAAGCGCCAATGCAGTCTAGTGTGTGTATATATATATATATCCACGATGCTCGTATAGATCTCTCTCTCTCTCTATATATATATATCCACGATGCTCGTATAGATCTCTCTCTCTATATATATGTATATAAATGTGTATATTTAGACACACGCGGAACCGCGGCCTGGGACTTCGGCGGGAAGGTCGGCGGGCGGGCGGTGGACATGTGTATGTTCTGGCCTTGGGGGGGGGGCCAAACAGGTCCATATCCCCCGCCCGCCCGCCGAGGCGAGCCGTCCACGCGGACCTCTCGCCCCCCTGGGCTCCCTTCGCACGCTCCGTCATCGCCTCCTCCTCTTCCTCCTCCTTGATCCTCCTGATCCTCCTCCTCCTCGATCCTCCTCCTCGATCCTCCTCCTCGATCCTCCTCCTCCTCCTCCTCCTCGATCCTCCTCCTCCTCCTCCTCCTCCTCGATCCTCCTCCTGCTCCTCCTCCTCCTCGACCCTCCTCCTCCTCCTCGATAGGAGGAGGGCGGCCAAGGAAGAGGAGCCGCAGGCGGCTGCTGGAGCGATCGCTCCAGCCGAGGGGGCCCCACGGACTCACAAGTGAATACACACGCACACACACACAAGTCCCAGGATTCCCCCAATCTTTTCCCATACTTTCTTGGAGTTTCGTCTTCCCCCCCTCCCCCACTCCCCACGTTTCCCCGTACCCTCTGGGGGGTCGACCATCACTGGCGTCTGTGCGTTGTTCTCCCCTCCCTGACCAGTAGCCGCTGGCCGGCATGGGCTGTCGAGGGTGAAAAACAAGAGGGGGGGCGGGCAAGACGGCAGCGAGAGGCAGAGAGCTGGAGATCCACCCCGGTCATAAGCACCCCGACCTCGCAACCGTCCAGCAAAGGCACCCGACGAAGGAGTCGAACACGGAAGCGCTGTTGGCTGTTTCGCAAACGCACGGGGCCCTCTGGCAAACGCCGATTATAGGGGGTCGGGGTGGATTTGTCCTCGTTGAAGAAGGGGGGGGAGACCGATCACGACCTCGAGGCGAGAGCAAGGAGCGGCCGAGGCGGCGGCGGCGGCAGCGGTGCACACCCGCCAGGGAGCGGGGCGCGGAGGCCTCTCGCCCATGCTCATGCTACAGGAGCCCCCCCCGCGGGCGCCCCCCAGAACAGCGACGGGAACCCGCGGTCCTCCTCGGTCCTCCTCGGTCCTCCTCCTCGGTCCTCCTCGGCCCTCCTCCTCGGTCCTCCTCGGCCCTCCTCTTCGGTCCTCCTCGGCCCTCCTCCTCGGTCCTCCTCCTCCTCCTCCTCCTCCTCCTCCTCCTCCTCCTCCTCCTCCTCGGTCCCCCAGACCAGACCTCCTCGGCCAGCCCTCCTCCTCGAGGCCTGGCCCGCGCGTCGTCGCGACGCTGCTGTTTTCGTCGTGGACGTCGTCGACCGTCGTCCACCGTCGCCGTCGTCGACCGTCGTGGACCGTCGACCGTCGTCGCCGTCGTCGACCGTCGACCGTCGACCGTCGTCGTCGTTGCCGTCGTCGTCATCGACCGTCGACCGTCGACCGTCGTCGACCGTCGTCGTCGTCGTCGTCGTCGTCGTCGTCGTCGTCGTCGTCGTCGTCGTCGTCGTCGTCATCGACCGTCGACGTCGTCGTCGTCGTCGCGAGCCCTCGGCCCACGACGGGGACGGCCCCGAGGCCTGCCCCTGCAGGCCGCGGGCGCCCCGCGGCCGCCGCGGACGCGCCGCCCACGCGCCCGCGAGCGCGCAGCCCACGGCCGCCAGCCACGCCAGGGGGCGCCGGGCGCCGCGCCGCCGGGCGGGCCTGAGCACATGAAGGGGCCCTGGAACACAGAAATAAATACACACAAATAACAAGATTCCCCGTATTTTCCCGTATCTTCTGGGTTCCCGTCTCCCCCCCCCACGTTCCATATGTTCCCCTGTTTTCCTGGGGATCGACGACTCATTGTGTCTGTGTGTTTTTTTCCCGTCTGACTGAGCACAGCGGAGCGAGCCGAGCCGAGCCGAGCCCCGAGGTCGGCGGGGGGAAGGCCCAGACCCCCCGCGCGCTGGCAACAAAAAAAACACGACCAGAGGTTTTGCGCTGCCTTCGGCCTTCTGGTGCCCCTGCCGGGCCCCAGGAGCGTCAAGAAACGACCCAGGGTGCAAAGCCGGTCCCGGGGGAGGGGTCCAGACCTCTGAGTCCAGACCTCTGAGGCTTGACGTTGTGAACAAATCGCGACGTCGGGGGTCTGGGAAGGTACCCATGCAGCTATCCTGCCCCCGTTGTGTCCCCTTTTCGGGCCTCCTGGGAGGCCATCGTCGCCACCGCTTGATTCGCCTCGGAATTCTGGTAAGAACGCACCACCAGGGAGGTCTGGGGAGCAGCAGTATCGGTGTTCTTGGTTTCCCCAAGACCCACTCGTTTGGAGAAAAACCCACGACGGGAAGTTCTTCGCTATATTTCCGGCCTCAGGGGGCCCTTGCCAGGCCTCGGGGCCAGCAAAAAACGACTCGGGAGGAGAAGCCAGTTCAGGGGAATGGGCTGAGACCTCTGGGGGTCGACGTTATGAAAACATCATGACGTCGGGGGCATAAGCTGAACATCGGACCGAATCTGGCCGAAAATCGAGCCGAATCGAACCGCGACGCCGGATCGGACCGGAATCGAAATCGCATCGCGAATTCGGATCGGGTCGCATCAGATCGAAAATCCATTAATGGCATCGAATCGGAGTCGAACCCAGACATGCGACGTCCTGTTTTTTTCAATACGGGGTCCCTGGAAATCACGACCCTTGCCCCGGGACCGGTTTTCCACCCTGAGTCTCTTTCTGACGGCCCCGAGGCCCGGCGAGGACCCCCCGAGGCCGATAATGGCCAAAAACTGCACGTCGTGATTTTGTTCACGAGTCGGAATTTCGCGGGCGGGGCCCGCGACTCGAAGCGCCTCGGATCGGATCGCAGGCCTGGCGGCCGGGGCGCCCCCGTCGCTGGCCTCGCGCGCCCGCGCCATGTGCGCCGGCGCGGCCGCCCCCCCTTGGGGGTGGAGGAACGGCCAACGGCATAAGTAAGCAGAAGCTCCCTCCCAGGCATGATCGCGTCGTAACTTGGCGGCGCGCAAAAGGGGGGTATGGGGGAGGGGGGAGGGCTTCTTAGAATCACCCTGCTTCTTAGAAGGCCTCGGCCTTACGTCTGTAGAGAAGGCCCGCGCCTTCTAAGAACCAGGGGTGCTTCTA